CTGCCACCTGATATCTGGATTTTGGCAGTTTTAATACTGGAATAGATTTTTAAGAAATAAACTTTTTTGCACAGTTGGAAAGAATTATTGAAGAAGTGGATAGAAGAATCTAAAACTATAGTAAATAAAGTATTACTACCGTATTCGAAAAAGTGGGATTATATTTTTGGAGATAAGGATATCTAATTTTATGTTATGAAGGAAATGTTTTTAAATGTCACATTTATACATTGCAATTGTGAGCCATGACATTGGTTATTTTTCTTAATTATTGGCAGAAAATGAATTCCACAAAACGAACATATTTTATTGCCTAAAACATATTTACCCCTCGTGGTATATTAATAGTTTGGTCAGTTTATTTAACAATAAGAAAAAATAGAAATTAAATGTATAAACTCTTGTATAGTGTTAAAATATCAAAACCATCCTCTAAACAATGTCTCAGGCATTAAAATATTTGTTTAACATTAATATGACAGCTATTAATAATAATATTAGCTTTTTATAAGACTCAATATCATTAAAATGATTTCTATGTCTTAATGTTTATTTAGCATAAAACCACTAAACAGAAATGTATCTTTCACATCAAAGTCATTCCCATGGCTGCTAGTTTCTTCTATTATTATTTCTGGTATAGTTGCTAAAGTTAGTTTGATCTAATGGTTAAAGCACCATAGTAGGAGATTGTGAGGTCAAGTCCTGCTTTGGCCATGAAAGGCAGCTGGGTGACTTTGCACCAGCCCCAATCTTAGCCCAATTCACTTCACAGAGTTGTTTGGGGAAAAATAGGAGGAAAAGTGATGGATATTTTCACTGCCTTGAATTATTTGTAAAAATAACAAAGATGGGATATGAATAAATAAAATAATAAAAATAATGTTTAGCTACTAGAAGAAGATTGCACAGACTGACTACAAACAACAGCATGAGAAAGTAGCAACAACAGTGCATTGGAAGATTTGCAAAAAATACCATTTGTCTGCAAGCAAGAACTGATGGGACCACAAAGTAGAGAAAGTAATAGAAAAATGAAAAAGCTAAAGTGCTCTGGGACTTTAGAATTCAGACAGACAGGCACCTGTTTTGTCAATAAGAAAGACAAAAAAGTCTGGATAGTGGAGTCCTGGAGTCAGCAAGAAAGAATTGGAGTTGACAGAGACCTGCAAATACAGAGACCTGCAAATAGAAATAGAACAACTGTGGCAAAAGAAAGCAAAAATAGTACTACTAATAATAGGGCTTTGGGTACAATCCCAAAACAACCAGAATGCCATTTGAATACCATTGGCATTGACAAAATCACCCTTGGTCAATTTCAGAAGGCAGTTTTACTTGCAATAGCTATCATTCTATGATAATACCTTTAAACAATCAAACATCAATATCTGCCTATCCCAGGTCCTAGAGATGGATTCAACAGGTGGATAAAAATGTCAAATCCCATCATAATATCTGGCTGACAAACCATAATGATATGCAGAATGATTATAAAGAGTGTTCAAATCTCAAAAGTTTTATGGTACATTGAGATCCTTGGCATATAACAGGTGTATTCTACCCTTAAACTATAGAATACCTTCTTATCATTTTTTTGTTAGGAGGCCATGTTTGCATAATATGATAACTGAAATCAAAGTGCAATTACCATACTGTGCAAATGTGAACAGCTAGCACTATGGCAGTGAATTAGATCACTTGTGTGAATTCAATTCCCCAAATTTCCTTAAAACCAAGTATTAAAGAGAAATATAAGCTCAGAAACCAAAATATGACAGTATTGGTCTCATGATTTTTTCATTTTATAGAAAGATACCTGAAATGCATCTCATGATTGCATGAAAGCCAAGCTTGCTATTCATTTAGATCTAGCATGATCTCAGAGTGAAGCAAAGGTTCCAGATGTGACCCTTAAGTTTAAGAAATTGGAAGACAAGAACAGGCAATCACTATTGAAGCAAACTCACTACAGTCTTGTAAATTGATGGCAAAAGGGAAGAACTAAAAGACCTCGGTCTCTATATTATTCACCATGTCACCTTGTCCATACAGGTCTGAATAATTTCCAGCAATACATCCAACTCATTCCTATAGTCATCTGATTTCCTAACCTATAGGGTTATGAGTTGATTACTATGTGAATGTTCCAGCTAATGTAGTACAGTAGTTAAAGTAATAGAGTAGGCCTTGAAGTCTCAGATTCAAGTCTATACTTGGCAATTGCCTTTGGAAATTCATTAGATGACTTTGGAAGTCTGTATGATTGATAACCTAATTTGCAAATCACGGGTTCAAACCAAAAGTCATTTCAAACTTGGCTTCAAAATACTGTAAATTGCATTTTAATTTTAATAAAAGAGATTGACAGTAATGGATTTCAAAATAAGTCTGGATAACAGCACCAAATATCCATTTTATACAGAAAAAATATTTTCTTACTTTGAGTTCAATAGCTTCTGCACAAAATATTTAAAATAGACTTGCTCTAGAATTGTTAGGGGAAAAGCTTATGCTTGATAGGACAATTAGCCCAAATAAGCAGATTAATGAACTGGTAAATTGAGGCTATTTGGGCATTTCTGGTGACACATTAAGGTTGGGGATTGTAATATAACATCCACCTCCTCCTCATCAGCTGTCTGTGGGAAAGGTGCATATATTTAGAGGATAGAAGCATTTCCTAAGTTCTGGACAGGGAATCTATACTAAGATTCAGAATGATTCTCTCCCCACCCACCCCCCGCTCTGATTCACTAAGATATAAGAGAGAGGGCACAAGAAGCACAATCAGAATATTGGCTGGCAGGGACCAGAAGGTAAGCTTTTTCTGCAGTGGCCCCTGCTCTATGGAACACCCTCCCTTCAGAGATCAGAATGGTCCCAACCCTGTCAGCCTTTCTACAAGGTCTTAAAAACTTAGCTATGTTTTTTTTATATTGTTTTCAAAAGTTGTTTTAATTTTTAGTTGTAATATATTTTATGAACTGTAAGTCACCCAGAGTCTCATGGACTGAGATGAGTGACCATAAAAATTAAATAAATAAATAAATCAGATTAGCAAATTTCTGTTAATATAGCCTTAATAATGTATGATTCTGGTCTTCCTGTGTGGAGTTTCCTGATCTGGTCTACCTTGAAAGGCTCATGATAATCAATTATATGTACAAGCTGTGAATAGGGAAATCTTCATGACCACTATTTTGTAAGTTTCTGAAGCACTTTGGATTTAAGGTGCTTCTGAGTACACAGTGACCCAAATAGAGCACTAATCTATTATTTCTTAGTTTCATGTTTTTATGAGTTTGCCTGCATGATCCAGTAAACAATCCAGTAGCTTTAAAGAATTGCAAAGAGTTGAAATGTTTATGGTCCTCATGCACCACACCTTTTTAGAATTGTATCCCAAGCCCTGTTTTATAAATCCACCTATTACATGCTCTTAAAATTTCAAATGTGCTCCTGGCCCCAAAAGGTGCCCTACATCTATATTGGGAGCTGTATTCCACGACCCTAACCTGGCAGGGTCATTGATAACTTGAGAGTTTATGTCATATGTAAGAAATGGATAAGATTCCTCTACAAATGTCTTGCTAATTCTATCCTCCAGATGTGATGATCCACAATTTCAAAGTTTTGCAGCCAACACATCCAAGGCTCAAATTCCAAGGATGATGCAGGTTTAGAATTTTGGGACTGCAAAGAGGACATTAAGTTAAAGAAAATCATTTTACAAGTGAAATAGCCTGTATCTTCAGCACCTTATTTGAAATATTTGGAAAGAAAATATGTGGATTTCTTCTTAGAGATAATCTTTTATATTGATATGATTTGTTATTAAAATCAGTTTTGGATTAAGCTAATCTAAGACATTATGACAAAAAGTAGACAAAAGTCTATAGATGGTTATGTGAAATGGGCATGTAAAGGGCTTTAAATCTATTGAAAACAGAAATGTCAAGTAATCTGTGACATTATAAATTCAGCAGAACCTGGAATAGTCAAATGCAACAGCTGTCAGAGTGGAATCTTAACCTGAGGCTGTTCATGTAGAGAGCAAGTCCATTGTTGTCTTTTTCATTTCTCTGCAAAGATCAACATGAAGCATAACTGCTACGTTGCCTCATCTTTTTGAACAACATAACTGCAGTCCTGTAAATTCTCCAAGATTTATAGGCTTCTATACTTAGCAGACACTGTCCAAAAGATGAACTAATTATTATCATTTTAATAAACTAGATGGATTATCTTACTGTCTTTCCTGTTATGGGTGAATACGTGTAGCTTTTGAACTATCTTGGTTAGCCCTAGGTGAAAGACGTGAAAATTATCTTGTCAGTTTTAACTCTAGCTTCTTGGTAATAATCCCCCACACTGATATTCATATTCTAATAAACTCTCATTTATCTTAGTAAACAACTGTTATTAAAAGTCTTGCCTTTTTGAGCAGAGAAATACAATAGTTAAATTTTGGTGAGCAGACCAAAGACCTAGTTGTTACAAGAATCTAGCACCAGTTCAGACTTCTTATAATCATGTCTTAGACTAAATTAGCACTTCTTAACCTCAACAACTTTAAGATGCATAGATTTCAGCCCCCAGAATTCCCCATCCAGTATGCTGGGGTAAGAGGATATTCTGTAGCTTCTGACTCAGTCTGTTTACTACTCTTTCTGCAACTGCTGTGGCATACATATTAATGGGAGCTCAGGAATGGAATAGCAAAGAAGACAAGGAATGATCAGGACACCACACTAATTGCTATTTTGGAATGCCTTGGCTTTGGTAAACATTCTGTACTAGCCCATTTGACCGCCAACACAATTTTATATCCATGTGTTTATTCAAGTGTGCGGTGAGTAACAGGGTGGTTTTCTTCACTAGAACCACACCAGGCATATTCAGAGTGACTCACTGGTGCTTGAGAAAACTTGTACTATTTCCTGGGCTACAAGAAAGATGATATAATTACCACTCAGCAATGGAACACGTGCCTCATCACGTGTATAGCTGGCTGAGCACCTAGGTAAGCGGTATTCCAAAAGGCAGATTTTGCATGTAATCTACATGGAATGCATTTTTCATTTTGCCAAACACCAAGCTAACCCAATTGTAAGAGAAACTGGGTTTGGGTAAGAAATGAAACAAGAGTGAAATTGGATAATGACAGACAGGTATATATCTTCTACATCACTATTAAGTTTATAGTATTGACTGGAATATCTTGAAGATTTGAAACATGTAAATCTTGGCTGGGTCCCTGGAAAATTTGATGTATCAAGTTTGATAATATATGGTGTGTGATCTTATGAACCAATCTGCAAAGTACTTTTTATTTTCTTTGCAAGAAAAATAGTTTCCAGGTTTGCAGTGACAACTGTAAGTATACACCTAAGTGAAATCTGACTTTAGAAATAGAGAAAGTTGGGGGGGGGGAACAGGCTGGGGATAAGGAGCTAAATATGTGAATATGGTCTTGCTCATATTATGATTTTTCCAGTATTGAATGTGAGATTTCCTAGCTGTGATAGAGCTAATCCACATAAAGCTTTCAGCAAACTTCCCATATTTTAATCAGCCAATAAGCCTGTGAATGATCAATAAGTTTTGAAACTCAAAATCCTGCTGGGAAGACCTAACAGGCTGGTGCTTCTGAATATGTAAATTAGCTTGGACTATTGACAACTGGCAGATACAGTATATTCCAGGTGATTCTGCAGTGCTGATTCCCCCAAGTTCTCTAAACTATCCTTGGATTCTAATGAATATCTATTAGGCTAACTACAGAATCTAGCTTTGTAGTACCTGCTAAAACTATGTTTTCATACACTCCAGCTATAATAGCTGCACAGGAAGTGGGTCCTTTCTCCACAGATGTTAGCAAGATGATATCTCACATTGTTCATAAACTAGATCAGTATTTCTCAGTCTTGGCAACTTTAAGACATGAGGACTTCAGTTCCCATGCTGACTAGGGAATTCTGAGAGTTGAAGTCTGCACATCTTGAACTGAGAGACACTGAAGTAAATTATAAATGCTGCTACATTGGAATGTTTACTTCTGGTTTGTCCTCATGTTTTTTGATATAAAGTGTTAGGTCCTTCACTTAGAATAGGATTAGGACTAACTGTATCTAGATCTTGACCATCAAATCAAATTGTCATGGTTCCGATAGATGAGACCAGTAAAAGCAGCATTGCAGTACTGACACAAATTCTTTTTGAAATTCTAATTAAAAGTAAAAATGCTGCAAAAATACAATTAAATCTCAACCATACTATGTAACAAAAGAGAAAATTCCAAGTTCCAGGTATGTTGAAATAATTTATTTCCTATTTGGGCTTCCCTGTGGTCTGAAGTTGATCTTCTGCCAAGACAAGAGGAAACATCTTGACTGAGTGCAACAAAATATTGAAAGGGTTGGGTGGAGCCCAATAAGACAGAAGTGAAGATCAAGAATAGCAGGAATAGAGGCCTCCTATTTTTCTGCCTGTTCTTCAGATCACAGTGGCTGTGCTCACTGTAATGTCCAATAGGCTTTATTCCTACTCTGGCTCTTTCTGTACTTGGCCTGAATGTGATATTTACGGATAGACTCAATCTCTTTTAAAAGAACTTCCAAGAAGAGGCTTGGTCAGGTCCCCAACTTCCTACCAAATCATAAAGTCATTATTAATCATAATGTAGCTAAAATTTGCAATTGCCATGAGGATAAGGCATCAAGAAAATTGCATTTGTTTGATATCATAAATATAAGTCAGTTGCCAACTGTCTGAATTCTGATCACATGTCCATGGGGATGCTGCAGCAGTCATAAGAGTGAAAAATGGTCATAAGTCACTTTTTAAAGTGCCATTGTAAATTTTCATGATCACTAAACAAACTTTTGTAAGTTGGGGACTACCTGTCTTATGTTTAGCTGCAAAATCCTTGGGTACAGAAATCCACAGTTTGGCAATAACCCATATTGTCCGGGGCTAGAATACAACACAATCTTCTACAAGCTATCCTTGTTTAAACTACATATTGTTACTATTTCCACCACACTTTAGTATAAAGACTATGGAAGCCTTTTCTAATTAGTACTTAATTTGGATTATAAAGAGGGTAAATTGTTTAAACACAGAAGCAAGTTCGCATACTTGAATGTGGACTTTATCTACATTTCAGTTTAGGTTATTATTTATTGTATGAATTTGAGTAAATAAACATTGACCTGCCCTGACATGTGCCTCATAGTAAATTTATTTCCAATGGCAGAACAGATTATTCAGAATATCTAATAAATCAGTTCTTAAGTTGTTTTTTCTATTCATTTTTAGGGCTGCTAGAAGAAAGAATAAATAAAATGAAATCATATGTTCTTAGTTCAGTGGTGTATTGAGTAACTTCAGCTTATGTTTTGTTAGTTTCAGTTTGCAGAGGGAATGCAATACAGGCTTGTCTTAAAGACTCATTATGAGGAATATTTAAATAATATATATGTACTTTAATTTGTTAAAGAAAAGTGTAAAGTTGATTGTATAGAACCTCTGTCTGTTGTTACAATAAACCTTTGACAATCTCTGGTTTCTCTAGTTTCTGGTTCAGCATGGAAATCCAGAAAATTGAATTATTCCATAGAGATAAGTATGGCTACCTTAGTCAATTAGATGCTAAAGCAGCTTTTGCTAGGTTCTTGTTCTCTGGATGCAATAGCTGTGAATCTTCCAGTTACAGTCAGGATGATGAAGTGGTCTGTTGGCTGGGAATTCTCATGCATAGGTTAGCAAGGCTGTTTTAAGATAGCTACAGCACTTCTGGGTGTGGTTTGGTGACTTTGAAAAAGTTAAACAGGTTACAGGATTGCTCTGGGTTAGTACCTTGACTTATCAGGAAATCCCAGGGCTATAGATTAGATTGGGAGGAGGCAGTGAGGCAATACCTCTGTATGGTTGCCAAGAAAACACATGGATACATTCATGTAAATCACCAGGGCATCACTCAATGAGAGCCAATTCGGTCTAGTAGTTAAGATACCAACCTAGAAATCAGGAGACAGTCAATCCTAGTTCCACCTTAGATATGAAAACTGGCTGGGTGGCTCTGGGCAAGTTACTTTCTCTCAGCCCAACTCACCACACAAGGTTGTTGAGGAGGAAAGAGTATTATGTATGTTCATAACCTTGAGTTATTCATAAAAATAATAAAGGTGGGATATAAATAAATCGAGTTTTTACCTTTAGGAGATCCTGACAAGTGCATTGGTAAGTAAGGGGAGGCAAGTAACCTGTCTAAATAAATCTTGCCTGAGAGCATAAGATAGGTGGATTTCAAAAGAAAGGTAACAAAATAAAGCAATGTACGGTAGTATTGAGAACCAGACTATTTTCTTAAAGAACATAGATCCCCAAGAATTGATTTTCTAAAGCATGATTACATTTTATCTTCTCTGACTATGCTTATTAGAATACAATTTCTGTCCTCTCATTATTTGTGCAAACCAATGTCATGTACTCTGTACAGTAACACTGTATGCACTTTTTATTCATTTTTATTTATGGATTTATCTGACGGCTTTTAGTTTTGCTAGAACAATAAATACATGCTAAGAGTTTAGCTAATTTTTACGTTTAGTAGTTCCTGAGATTTAAGTTTACTGCTTCTAGCAATGTATACATTTCTATTATACATGACAGGAAGCATTTGATTCTAATTAAAATGCTTCCATAAAAAATATTGAAAATAGTGATGCATACAGTGTGATTGAGTTCCTATATTACACTAAGCAGTGGTTTTCAGTTGTAGGTTACTGAATAAACCACAATATATAAACTATGGTTTACAAATCACAATGACTGATTTCACACAATACTTTTTTCTAAAACCAAGTATATTATTGGTGTATTAATGAACCCATATACTGTATATCCAATGCAAGTATAATCTGTTGCATGTTTACTCTGAAATTCACTGAGATTTATTCCCATGTAAATGAGTATGAAATTGGAATGCTTTCTGCACAATCAGGATTTCTAATACTCTGTACCTAGTTTTTTTAAATAAATTCTTGAGAAGTACATACTGCAAGATCAATCCTTTTGTCTTATGCATGAATACATACTTACACATGATATTGACTTCTGTTTTAAATATGTCCGTATGCACAAACACAAAGAAATATATGCATGCGCATGCTTTTTTAAACACTTTGTCTTATGCTACAGTACTGCAACTTTCTTTTTCTTCAAACCTAAAATTATGGCTTCTATGCCAGAGAAACTTGCTGTGGACAGTCTTGCCTGCAGCTCAGAAATAAGAAAGTAAGATTACAATGAGACATTTTGTTTGCTCAGGAGACTGACAAAAAGACCATGACGCAAAATAAATGTCTTTGTTTAATCAAGATGTACTAGCTTCGTGTCAGTTCTTGATATGCTTCCACTTCTTGTACATTATCCAATATGTAACTGCATATTGTTAACTTTATTCTTAAGTAACTTCTACTCAGATAGAAGAAGAAAAAAATAAATATTAATTTGAAGAAGGCATATATGTGTGTGACCAAGAGCGAGCAAGAGAGAAAACAGTACACATTTGCATAATAGTAAATCATAAACCATGATTAAGACAGGAAAATTACTTTGGTTACATAATGCAACATGCTAAAATATAACATGGCTTAATACGATAGCCTAATTCATACAACATACTAAATTATAATGTGGTTTGTTGGGTTATAGTTTAACCACTGTGGTTTACATCATGATTTTTATATAGTGCATTATATGAATAAATCTAGACTAGTATATTTTTACCTTACTGTGCTGTGCATATAAAATATTATTTCTGTGAAACAAATAGGTGATTTTTTTTTCTTGAATGAACTGTGATGTTTTGACAGTTTCATAAATGTAATGAAAGAGATGATTGTGTACTTTCTTGTGACAGTCTAAGGTGATGCTTTTCAATGTTTCCTATCTTAGGTTACATTAATACCCTTTCAAACCGTACTTGTTCCTGGCAGAATATTTGTATATTAACATAGATTTCATAATTATATTTTCATCTCTAAAAAATTTAAAGTGATTCACTATGTAACTATGGGAACCAATACATAACACTTACTGATGAATTAGATAGCAAGCCATTCCAATTCCATTTTTATTCATTCAAGTGGTTGGTAACCACTAGATAGATTAGAATCGCCACACACAGTGAGAGCAGAGTCTGGTCCTTATTCCTAGCACCTTTTTTTTTTCAGAAGAATTTACATGTATTCCCTGTATGTATGTGGATAGATGTGCACATGTGTGCTTTCATGCACCATTTTAATCTATTTGTACTTTGGAGCAGGGTTTTTGTTTAGACATTTTGATAAGTAGATTCTAGGTCAGATACACTGCGTTCATGATCCAGATTCGATTACATGTATTTTAAAAATAAAGTTTCTATATTGGATTTGACTTCTGGTAATTCTAACATTATGGAAGGTGTTCCATTGCCTTCTCCTAGTCTTTTCCAATGTATTATGGAAATTATCAGAGGAAAAATATTGAAACAAATGCATATAAGCTGCTTTGTTCTTTATCCCTTTTCAAATTGCTTCCACTATCAAATAGATGAGGCTAGGGACTCTGGTAGACAACAGATACATAAAACTGTGTCAGAATAGTATGAGTTTCATAGAAACAAAAATAACCTTGCAAAATGGTCTTAGTTATTTACTTATTTATTTATTTACAGGATCTATGTGGCTGCCTATCTCATACAACAATTCTAGTTGGCTCACAACAATTCATACAAACGTGGTTAAAAACAAGAATACCCTTCCTTACAGTCACCAGATCAAACATTCTGGCAGTTCACTATTGCTATAAAATGATCCAGATCTTAAACTACTTGTGGAAGTTTATCTACTTACCATCTTCCTGATAATACCTTATATGTTCTTGGCTAACTATGCCAGGGTAATAGCTTTGGGAGATCAAATTACTGATATCATATGGAAATCCCAATGCTCCTAGTGAAAGATAATCACAAAGCATATCTCAGTGGAAGGATGGGTGAAAGGGAGTTTCACGCAGATTCAGAACAAGAATATTGGTGGGTTGTTTAAGCTGGATTCTAATGGATGTAATAGCTTTTGGTTTTGCAAAGGATTGCCTGGTTCTAGGAAATTGTAAATGAGGAGAAACATTGAGCTGCAGAAGGCTTCTTAATATGCACTAGCCCAATGATTTGGAAGTTGTTCCTGCATCATTACTCCTGTTTCAGCACAGCCTGTGAAGGAACTCATTATTCATGATTTCATCTTGCCTATTTAAAATGTGTAATAGCTCAAAGATTCGGTTGATGGATTTCTTCCAACTCTTTGATGACTCAAAGATAAATTTTCAAGGTTCTCTTCTAACTGGTCCCACTCCCATTTTGTGGTTTAATGTTTACACTTGTGCTGCATGTCTTTACTAGACTGAAAGATCCTTAGGCCAGGATCTTATCATTTTTGTCTTAAGTAGCATTCACACCCATCAAGTTATAGATAATAGTTGCAGCTGCAAAGGTATGATGGAAAACTGCTTTAGCTCTATATTCCATTCTTTTCCCCGTGCCTTCTAGATGTATTAAACATCATGGCCGGGAATTATGATAGATGAAGTCTAATACAAGAAGACTGGGATTGCTTTTTTATTCAGTTTTCTAAATTTGGCTTGAGCCAAAATAAACATTCCTTAAATAAGGTTTAACAGAAATCTTAAGCACCCATTTCCAACAACAAGCAATCCTATTCTGTATTCTTTATTTGTTACCACTGCTTTTAATAATATGTATTTTAAAAGTAAGTGCAAATAAAAACAACTGAAGTTATATGAATTAAGTAAATAAAATCACACACTGCATTTGCTTTCCCATTTACCAAAAAATTAAAAATGCATTAATTAAATTTCAAGAGAAAGTAGTTGTATATTTGTTATGAAACAAGATGTCATAACATCTTATGAAAATCAAGTTCTAGCAGTTTTACGCCATGATGCTTATATTACTGTAATTTTAAAGGCTGGTAATATTCTATTCAGTGCACAATTTATTATCCAATATCTTTTTTAAATTTTGAGTTATTACATCCAGAGAACAAGAACCTAGCAAAAGCTGCTTTAGCATCTAATTGACTGAGGTAGCCATACTTATCTATTATTTCTACAGAAATACTCAGGAGTCATTCTTATTTGAAAATGGTTGGTGACACATTTTTCCTGAAAATATGCTCGTAACTGAATCATCACCCTCAGTCAGCTATTATGTAATGATATTTTCAGATATCTTTCAAGAATTTACTTTCAAGAATTTACAAAAGAAATATAATTTATCTAAAAAGGATAAATAGCTATACATATATTTTGTTGGAATATTCATGAGCAGGAAGAGTCATGTGGTAACTCAGTCAGCCAATGTGAAGAAAGTACTACTGAGTCCGTGCAAAAGGGTATTAAGTTAGGAGCTGAATTTTCAGTCTCAGGTTTGTCTCTGTATCTCTCTGTAAGAAGTCTTCATTAAGCTATGTTGCTGTAAAGAAGAATGTATGGTATTGTAAATATTTTGATATAAATATAAAGAAGTTATTTTGAATCAGCTAAATGCAGTCAACTGTGAGAGCTTCTGATTTATTTTTTCACCAACAGAGAAATTAAAATTCTCTAACATATTTGAAACATTATCTACATTGTTCAGTCCTGATGCCAGCATAGCTTTTAACACACCACAGCTTTTAAGTTGTTGGAGACTGATTTTCACTATAGAAATATTTTTCATAAAATATTTTAAAAACTAAACCTAATTTATCTAATTATTTCTCTTAATATTGCTTTCTATATATGTGTATTCATGTTATAAAAAGAAATACATGAGATATTTAAGTGTTTTGTTATATAGATTTTTGGTTTACAATTTTTAAAACTTTTTTCTTTTGGGGGAGTCCATTATGAATTTACTATATCATATCTCTTTTTCTTGTATTCTTGTATAAATAGGTAATTAAACATTTATATCAATTAGGCACCTATTTTAAACTAGATTGTTCTATTCATAAATAGCAATATAGTTATGTTTTTGGAATTTAAATAAAAATGTCCTTGGATAAGAAGGAGATGTGGATTCCATCTCTTCGTTGCTAACAGGTGGTCCTGGTCCTTGCCTGGATTCTCCTGGCCAACTTGCTGCAGCTTGCTGTACTTCCCTCAGCCTGTCGCTTGTCCAATTGACCCAGCTGAAATTGCTTCATCAGGTAGTACTCTCCAAGCCCTAATTCTGACTAACACTTGGCTCTGTCCTTTCCTCTGCTGACTCAAATTCACCGTCCTCTGAATTCATGTCTGAAGAGAGGTCTGGGGGCAGATCCATGACAGTGACTGAAGTTACCATGGTGCTGAACAAGGGCTACTTGTAAGAAGTTTCTGGAAGTTTCTGGGGTTTTTATATTGTTGAATTTTAAAGTCATACTCTGCCTGGTGTAACTGTGTACAAGTTGGGCAGCCATATAAATCTATTAAATAAATACAATGAATAATAAAAGTTCTCATAATTGCACTTTGTGCATTGATGACCAGTTCACAATTACAATGCATAGTGCCCCACAATCTGTGAATTGAGACCTTCATTGCCAGCTTCCAACAAGCAAAGTTAATGAAGAAACTAGTAGGAGGTTGCAAATGGCAGTCACATGACTGTGGGGCACTATGACCATGCAGGATTCATGCCATGCAGGATTCATGGCAATTGTATCTGCCGGAACCTATGCCTTACAACCACTTAGCAATGGGGTTCCTAGACCTAATTACCATTACCACATTTGCCAGTGTTTAGCTAATAGCCTTCATTCATACTGAGTTCTTCCCAACTGTACAGTACATAAGGACAGCGAAGACTTCCATCTACCAATATCACTTCAGCTCTGCATTAATAACACTGAAATTTCTTTTAGAAATATACTTTGGGGACAAAATTTTATTAAATGGCAGAATCACTGCTGGAAGAGGGATGGCCATATACATAATTTAAATAAATCTATATAATGGCTCAAAATACACATCAGTGAAAATTAATATTTGAGAGACTTCCGGTTTTGCGTCATAATGATGTGGCCAGGGGATTGTGGGGCTCATCTTGCAAGAGGACCCTGGAGAGGTGACAAAGGAGGGACCCCCCCTTGATCACAGAAAGATTGTGGTTGATCCATTTGATCGAGGGGAAGCCCTCCAAACTGACAAAAGAAAGGCTAGCTGCACCTCGGTGACTAGCCCAAGCTACTGGAAGCCGAAGTCCAAAGGCACTAACCAGAACAGACTATGAAGAGCATGTTGGAAACTGGGTGAGAATATCAATCTTTTCTCTTCTATCTTGCAACTGATTTCCTGGAAAAGTTCCCCAAGAAGGAAAAATCCTCTGAAAGTGAGAAGGAAGGGGATCACCTCCCCACCTTTCCATAGATGGAAATGGCTCTAATTTTTTATGAGGAACAGAAACATATTGAGATGGAATTTAACATAAAGCTATAATCCGGATAAACCTGAAAATTGTGGAAATTATTAAGATCTTCCCTTTGAAAAAGTATTGATGAAATTACAAGAAAACAATTTTCTGTTTTAAAAGTAGAAAATGAATAGCTATTGATATCTAATGGTGGATTACAGTATAAAAGTATATATGTTTTGGCTCAGAAACTGGCAAGATGCCCAGAAACAGATAACAATTTGTCCCTTTGATCCTCAGTGACTTCCAACTAAACAGAGGACAGCTGGGAACAGAGGAGAGAAAATACATTGGGCTATTTACTACAGACTGAGAACTATAAAAATTGCTGACCTTCTTGGATTATAAACACTCACTGAGCTGTAATCTTTAGGCTCAAGAATTGTTTGCAGAGAAAGAAAAACCCTGACTTTTGGCTATTCTTCTAGAGGGGAAGCTCCTGAAGTCTCTTAGGTGATTGAACATTTTGGACTACAAATGTTGGCTGATTGATAATTGTAGGAATCCTGAGCAGAAGAACCGTTATAAAATATTGTTTTTAGTGATGGATTGACAATTGGAAACAACATTGGAGTATACAGGCCATACATAAATATAAGAATTATACAAGACTTTGTAGTTTGGACCTTAAGATTGGTTGGTTGGATAAGACTAATATACAGGGATTATGGTACTTGTGAAAGATTATTTGAAGGGAGAGATACAATGGATGTTGCATACCTAACTAAAAGTGGTAGGAAACCATACCCAAGATTCTTTTCTGAAACTCCCAGCCTGGAACATCAGAGATCTGCAGGAGTAATACTTAAAGACAAGGTAAATAACTTCCAGGAGGAAATGCATGCTATGTTGCAACTGATTCAACTGACAATTGTTTCAAATCATGATGAGATTAGAAATAACATTTTAATAACATAAATGAACATATCTTTAACCTAAACTCACAACTAAAAAAAACCTCAGAAAATGATGATAAAAAATGAACAAATAAATCAGACAATAGAACACAAATCAGAGGAAAGTGACCCAAAGATGCAGGCTACAAATGAAAGGAATTACAGTTTAACACAGCTAAAGAAAAATTTGCAAGATTCTGTAATAATATTGGAAAAGGAAAAAGCATTTTATCTTTCAGGACTTCAAAATAAACCAGAGGACAAGAAAGAAGATCCAACAAAATGGATTATAGAGATGCCAGGAGAACCACTAGAGTTTGGGAGACAAAAAATGAAAAGAGAAACTGAGGGAGAAGGAAAGTTGAAGCTCTTTAATGAATATACTGTAAATGGGTAAAACTCCCCTTCAAAGGTACTCTATCTAATCTATCTTCCCTGTTTCTAACAACATTTATAAAAATACAGGAAGAATTCCCTGGCAAGCTGAACACATTGACTCAGAAAGTTGTTTGGCAAAAGAAGAAGGCTAGAGTTAGATTCAAAAGATCAGATGACTTGACTTACCAGATGGAGTACTACATGACTAAACACTTGTTTGAATACGGCTAAAAAAATAGATAAATTTTGGATATAAATGGGTCCTATAGTAAGAGGGATGTGATTTATAAGTAGTATAGCATTTTTTTTCTTTTATGAGATGAGAAATATAAAAATACTGGGATGGCTTATGTGAATGAAATATCTGGACATTTAAATGTAATTAATTTTCAGAAAATTATAATTGACAAGAATGTTTTGAATATTGAGGGGAAATTAAGCTTAAATAAGAACTTCGAAAACAGGACCTATAGTGATTTAATAAAATAACTCTTCGTAAATACAACTGAAACATAAGCTGATGAAAAAAGATGTTATACACTGATGTTGATGTTATTTGTATAAACACTAGGAAAATGTTTTCATTCAACTTTGTATATATCGAAAATACTAAGAATTGTACTTACTCAATGTTGGCAAAAGGAAAATATTGGAAGAAGAGAAGATCAAGGACACGTATCACTAACTAGTATGTTGGTTATGGAATCATAGAAATTAACTGTTATTGATTGTTGTTAAATATATGAACCTAGACATGTTGTTTACCAAGCACTAAAGATTGTTATTGTAAAAAATCAATAAAATTAAAAAAAAGAAAATTAATACTTGAGTAACCTTACTAGTTTATCTATATTTTATTTATTGTTATTTCCCTTTAATTCACTTTATAGGTAACTCAAGGCAGTGAATATACATAATACTTTTTCCTCCTCCTATTTTCTCCACAACAATTCTGTGAGGTCGGTTGGGCTGAGAGAAAGTGACTTGCTCACAGTAACCTAGCCAACTTTCATGTCTAACAGAACTAGAACTCATAGTCTTCTGTTTTCTAGATTAGCACCTTAATCACTATGCAAATTGACTCTCTTTAATATCTATCCCCTCCATCTGTAATGCTGTAATGTGTTAAACCAAGGATTAAGCAGAAATTCAGTAACTGAATCCACTTTCCAATATGGAAATAGTATAATGAAAAAGCAAAACAACTTAAAGATTGTCTAAGAAAAAAAAAATGTGTCATCCTTAGTCAACTTCCAAATTAGCCACTAAACAGGAGTTAATGATTAATATTTGCTGCCAATAGCTAAAATTAAAATTTAAAATAGCTTTACTTCTTGGCCACACATCTATCCTGATCACTTTTAAATCATTTTTATGTGTTGTTTTTTCTACTCCTCCATATGCATGTAGCTTATGAATAATTGGCTGTTTAGAATAAAGTTTGATGAGTTTGAAGCAACAAGAAAAACTGTCATTAATTGCTTTGTGGGTTTATTTGTATACAAGTTCCTTCAGGTGCAGATTACAACAGTTTTAGTTTTCTTACAAGCACTCTTTGTGCTGTCTCAGCTAGCTTTGCTAATGAATTAGGTGGAAGGCCTGTAGAGCACATGCAGTAAAAAAAAATTAAAAATATAAAATAAAAGCAGATTGCCAACCTATTCTAATAAGCTTTCTAATTTGCTCAAGGTGAACAAATCCGCGGGTATGGGCAATATTTAATAAATGATATCTTGGCTTTGTATCTTTGCCAGAAGCTGAAGACTTATTTTTTTCTGCAACAAAGGAAGTCTAAAATAGAAAATAAATAAATAAAAATTGTATTACTAACAGTTAAAGATTCCCACTTAAATGTATGAGGTTTTTGAGAAACTTCCCAAAATTACTGGGAGTCAGGCAGCATATAAATTTAATATATTTACAATATATCGTTGTATCATATAAATTATTATTATATACACAACATGAAATCATAATTACCAGTTTTTAGCTAATGGTCTTCATTCACATTGAGTTCTTCCCAAGAACCTAGGATATTGTACTATGTTGTGGCAGCATATGTGCATATCCAAGCAGTGTGCGTTTTATAATTGACAGGTGGAAATGTTGTCAATGTGCAGATTTTCTAAGTGTCATCCAAGGTTTTTTGATATAATATTCAGTGCATTGATAACTCCTGGGGCCACCACTGCCAGTTCATGCCATAATCTTTCAACTTCAATTTTGAGATTGATACTGTACTTTATTGATACTTTGTAATCTTCTCCAATTCTTTGTCTTTCTAATAAATAGAATTCATATATAATTTTCTATCATAAGCTTCCATTATTACTATTGCCATGTTGACTGGGAATTATAATTTTAGGTCAAAGCTCCCCATTATTTTGCAGATGAAAGACTGAAGACTTCAATGCATTAAAAAGGACTGAATCTCAATGGCAAAATACATTCCTTTGATATTCCAGTAGAGCAAATGAAACCCTCGAAAGAAAGTAAGTGAAAGTATCTTTGTGGTCAATTCTAAACCAGATGGATCTACAGTAAAACAAAGATTATACCACTCTGAATTTTTTATATCTGGTTTGCTATTGGAACCATGCAAAATATTATTCTGGATTTACGGTTATTTCATTAATTCCTACATATAATCAACTTTCTAAATTGAATTGTCAATGTGGAATGTGTTCAAATGAATTAGTTGCTTCTCAATTGATCTGATAATTTGATATTTTTATATGCATAGAAATATTTTTATACATTTCTTAAATAGATCAGATAAATATAGTAACCAAAATGGAAGTCCAAATCAAATCAATATTTTGAACTGAATTGATTCCACTATTAAGATAGAATCATCAACTATTGATATTATCTTTTTGGCAAGACAATCTTAAATGGACAAGTACTTGAACTTACTATCATAATTACATATTCATCTAACTGGCTCCTGAAACATTATTATGGGCCACGTCTAGTAGCTTGTAGACATTAAAGGGTAAAAGATGTACATTATCTGTAAAGTAATATCTGTGTGGCAAGCAACCAGAAGAGCAAATATAAGTTAATTAAAATGCAATTAGGAGACAATCTTGACAAGCCAGGAATAATAGATTTAGAACGGTTGTGGCAAAATTGCAGCTACTTTGTCCTCCTATTTTGCAAAGTACAAATAAGTGTAATACACTCAGCAGCTCATACACAATTTACTGGTTTATTTGGATGCATTTAAGATTGCTGTTTGGTGTTTTCTTTTGCTTTTCTATCCATTCTTAAAGTATAGTTAACTTAAAATGTCCAAACAGCCCCAAGGAGGTGAAAAACTGATATCCATATTTTAGTTTCTTATTTATGCACAAATGTAATGTAAATATGGCATTTTTGTGAATCATCATATGAAACCCCAAAAAGAAAAGTATTTCTTTGCTTCTCTTAGGACACAAAATCTGGGTTCACATATTAGACTGTGTGGACACTCTCAACTACACTAGCATGTGTTTTGTTTAAGTTAATCTTAAGATATTGTGCAAACCCAGCAAATCTGTTTCATGAGCCCTGGCTAATGGACAAACTGGATCACTTTTGAGAAACCCATTAAACAGCAGCCCATGCCCTGAAACTAGTAGATCAAAGTTCAGTGCAGTTTAACTTAGAGCATCCAACGTCATTCTTCATTTTTTCTTCTATTCATCTCAGTAGAGAGGCAGCTATCAGTGATAATTCAAGCAAAGAACAATATTCCCAGCAGCTTGCATTGTAAGTAGAGCTGGAGGGTTCTTAAACATTCAGCCACTGTCGTCTTGCTAATTCACAGTACTCCTTTTCTCTCAGGCTTCAAACACCTGCAACTTAATGAAAGCGTACATTGTTACTTCAAGTGGGGAGACAGCACATGCAGTGTCTACTTCAGCAGCAAAAGATGAGGGGGGTGACTTCCCATTTATTCACCCCACTCCCACAACACTATAAGGGAGCGTTGCCATTTCCGCTCATCTGAAGATTGTGGGTTTTCCACTGGGTCAACAAGCTTAATATGACACAATTTGCTTTTGAAAAACCAAAAACATTATTCATGTTTTTCTGTGAAAAAATGACTGAAATTGTTCGTAATTTGCTCATTTTTATCCTGGTAACAAATCAAAAGTTCAGAATACAGTAGTAGACAAACACTATCTTTGAGGTCTAGTAAGCTATATTCAAGCAAGAAAATGACATGAATTATTTTAAACTTAGATTCAGACAAACCTGTGCTATTCTTAAGTTTTCTGATTGCTTCCTTTTAGGCTTATTCCACCGAAGAAAAATGAGTTATTTACTTGAAAATATAATAAACATGTCTAAAATAGATTGTGTTGGACTAAAAGTTATTTGTAAAAATGCACAAAGCACACATGAAGTACTGAATTGGTTTTATGTGTAAAGAATGCTGTATACATGTGAGCTCTGGAATTCTCTTTAACTCTCCTAGTTCTCCTTTATGGTCTGACTACTACCACCATCACATTGATTCCCACTACTTCCCATGGAAGTAGTCGTGAGGACAGGATAAGACCTCTCCATATTGCGAATAGGAGATTTACTTCTTTTCACTGAACTTTTTCCAGTAGTTGCTGATAGGAATTTGTGGCCATCTCAATAATTAAGGTGCTGAACTGAAACCAGGAAGATTCACTTTGTCCTTGTGAACCAAGGAATCTCTCTCAACCAAACTTACCTCATTACCATTGAATGAAGAAACAAAATGGGTGGAGATCTTCACATAAGGTGTCTTGATCTTTCAAAGGAAAAGAAGTCTATTAAACAAATCTGCTTTGATAATGTTGCTCAGCTTAATTATGTCTATCTTTCAGAACTGATAAATAATTTCGTTTAGAGAAGCCAGTTTGCAAATCTTTGAATTCTCTACAACTATTCATCTAACAAACTATTATAAAAATCAGGGGATATAGAAGAAACATAATCCAATAATTAGATTAGATATTTTAACCTAATTAAAATAGGTTAAATAGCATTTCTCTTAGTTCTGAAAACAGAAACCTCATGCTTTCATGAAACCAGAATCATAGCTAAGGCAGTTTGTGAATTCTGTGGTGGGAAAGGTGAAACTTTGGGCACGCTTATAGAATTCTGACATTTGTTTTTGTAAAATAAATACTACCTTTGGCATTATTAGCAGTGCAGAAGTATGTTTATTTCTTTTAGAAATGCCCCCAGGTTTTAGTAGTACTTATTCTTAAGGGAATATGTATAGAATTGCATTCTTATTGGTTTCTCTTATTCTTCAAACATAGAATGCTTTGTTTTTCATAAAAGCTGTGATATATGCCTTTTTCTTGTTTACAGTTAGCTCCAATGCTAACTATAAGCTGCTCTTAGTATTCAGTTCATCCATTATCTAATGAGTAATCTAGAAAAATTCTGAAATAATCCAATGTTGTAACTACCTGAATTAACATAATAGAACATAGAGTTCTCCCTCGCAGTGTCTATCACTAAGTACATTATGAGAGTATATCAGAATAATTTATGATTGACTAAGGCAGATTTTCCCCTTTATGGATTACTGCCTTGTCGTGGCGAAGGGGCTTGCGTAACTCAATGAAGCTATAAGCTATGCCGTGCAGGGCCACCCAAGACGGACAGGTTATAGCAGAGAGTTCTGACAAAATGTGATCCACTGGAGAAGGAAATGGCAAACCACTCCAGTATCTTTGCCATGAAAACCCCATGGACAGTACTAAAAGGCAAAAAGATATGACGCTGGAAGATGAGCCCCTCAGGTCGGAAGGTGTCCAATATGCTACTGGGGAAGAGCAGAGGGCTAGTACTAGTAGCGCCAGAAAGAATGAAGCGACTGGGCCAAAGCCGAAAGGACGCTCAGCTGTGGATATATCTGGTGGTGAAAGGAAAGTCCGATGCTGTAAAGATTTTTTCTCCATAGGAACCTGGAATGTAAGATCCATGAATCAAGGCAAGCTAGACGTAGTCAAAAAAGAGATGACAAGACTGAACATCGACATCTTAGGAATCAGCGAACTAAAATGGATAGGAATGGGTGAATTTAACTCAGATGACCATCAGGTATACTACTGTGGGCAAGAATCCCTCAGAAGAAATGGAGTAGCCTTCATAGTCAATAAAAGAATAGGAAAAGCAATACTGGGATACAATCCCCAAAATGACAGAATGATCTCAATTCGAATCCAAGGCAAACCATTCAATATCACAGTAGTCCAAATCTATGCCCCAACCACTGGTGCTGAAGAGGATGAAATTGACCGGTTCTATGAAGCCCTACAGCACCTTATAGAATTAACACCAAAAAATGATGTCCTTATCATCATGGGGGATTGGAATGCTAAGGTAGGAAGCCAAAAGATAACGGAATAACAGGCAAGTTTGGCCTTGGAGTACAAAATGAAGCAGGGCACAGGCTAATAGAATTTTGTCAAGAGAATACGATGGTCATAACAAACACTCTTTTCCAACAACCCAAGAGACGGCTCTACACATGGACATCACCAGACGGTCAACATAGAAATCAGATTGACTATGTGCTCTGCAGCCAAAGATGGAGAAGCTGTATACAGTCAGTAAAAACAAGACCAGGAGCTGACTGTGACTCAGATCATGAGCTTCTCGTTGCAAAATTTAGGCTTAAATTGAAAAAAGTAGGGAAAAGCACTAGGCCACTCAGGTATGAACTAAATTATATTCCTGATGAATATACAGTAGAGGTGACAAATAGATTTAAGGAACTGGATCTGATAGACAGAGTGCCTGAAGAACTATGGATGGAAGTTCGCAACATTGTACAAGAGGTAGCAACTAAAACCATCCCAAAGAAAAAGAAATGCAAGAAAGCAAAATGGCTGTCTGAGGAAGCTTTGCAAATAGCTGAGGAAAGAAGGGAAGCGAAAGGCAAAGGAGAAAGAGAAAGATACACCCAATTGAATACAGAATTCCAGAGAATAGCTAGAAGAGATAAGAATACCTTCTTAAATGAACAGTGCAAAGAAATAGAAGAAAACAACAGAATAGGGAGGACCAGAGATCTCTTCAAGAAAATTGGAGATATGAAGGGAACGTTTCATGCAAAGATGGGCATGATAAAGGACCAAAATGGCAGAGACCTAACAGAGGCAAAAGAGATTAAGAAGAGATGGCAAAACTACACAGAAGAACTATACAAGAATGAGCTTAACATCCCAGATAACCACAATGAGATGGTCACTGACCTCGAACCAGACATCCTAGAATGTGAAGTGAAATGGGCCTTAGAAAATCTGAGCAACAACAAAGCTAGTGGAGGTGACAGTATTCCAGCTGAGCTATTCAAAATCTTAAAAGACGATGCAGTAAAAGTGCTACACTCAATTTGCCAGCAAATTTGGAAAACTCAACAGTGGCCACAGGATTGGAAAAGGTCAGTTTACATTCCAATTCCAAAGAAAGGCAATGCCAAAGAATGTTCAAACTATCGCACCATTGCACTCATTTCACATGCTAGTAAAGTTATGCTTAAAATCCTACAAGCTAGACTCCAGCAGTATGTGGATCGAGAACTACCAGAAGTACAGGCAGGATTTCGAAGAGGCAGAGGAACTAGAGATCAAATTGCCAACATACGCTGGATCATGGAGAAAGCTAGGGAGTTCCAGAAAAACATCTACTTCTGCTTCATTGACTATGCAAAAGCCTTTGATTGTGTGGATCACAACAAATTGTGGCAAGTTCTTAAAGAGATGGGAGTACCAGACCATCTCATTTGTCTCTTGAGAAACCTATATGCGGGTCAAGAAGCAACAGTGAGAACGAACACGGAACCACTGATTGGTTCAAAATTGGAAAAGGAGTCCGGCAAGGCTGTATACTGTCACCCTGCCTATTTAACTTATATGCAGAGCACATCATGAGAAAGGCAGGGCTAGATGAATCAAAAGTTGGAATTAAGATTGCCGGGAGAAATATCAACAACCTAAGATATGCAGATGATACCACTCTAATGGCAGAAAGTGAAGAGGAACTAAAGAGCCTCTTGATGCGGGTGAAGAAGGAGAGTGCAAAAGTTGGCTTGAAACTCAACATTAAGAAAACCAAAATCATGGCATCCGGCCCTCTCAATTCCTGGCAAATAGATGGGGAAGAAATGGAGGTAGTGACAGATTTTATTTTTCTGGGCTCCAAGATCACCTCAGATGGGGACTGCAGCCAAGAAATTAAAAGACGCTTGCTCCTGGGGAGGAAAGCTATGGCAAATCTAAACAGCATTCTAAAAAGCAGAGACATCACCCTGCCAACAAAAGTGCGTATAGTCCAGGCCATGGTTTTCCCAGTTGCAATGTATGGCTGTGAAAGTTGGACCATAAGAAAGGCTGAGCGCAAAAGAATTGAGGCCTTTGAACTATGGTGCTGGAGAAGACTCCTGCGAGTCCCTTGGACTGCAAGGCGTTCAAACCGGTCAGTCCTAGAAGAGATCAACCCCGACTGCTCTTTAGAAGGCCAGATCCTGAAGTTGAAACTCAAGTACTTTGGCCACCTAATGAGAAGGAAGGATTCACTGGAGAAGAGCCTAATGCTGGGAAAGATTGAGGGCAATAGAAGAAGGGGACGACAGAGAATGAGATGGCTGGATGGAGTCACTGAAGCAGTAGGTGTGAATTTAAATGGACTCCAGAAGATGGTAGAGGACAGGAAGACCTGGAGGAACATTGTCCATGGGGTCGCGACGGGTCGGACACGACTTCGCAATTAACAACAACAAGGCAGATTTTACATGTGATACACTGTTTCTGTACTATTTGTTTGCATAAAAGGATTGTCCAGATACAAAGTTAACCTTGCCTATTACTCTAGCTCCAGATCTAGTCTTACTGGTAACTTTATCAAAATTTATATTTGCAA